CAGCCTTCCCCAGCCCGGCCCAGCCCCACCAGACAACGGAGAGGCAGAAGAAGATGTGACGGATGACCGGGGTCCGGACCAGGTCGGAGATGCTGTAGGAGGACTTCAACCCGGCCAACTCCTCCTTCATGTTGGACCTCAGGATCTGGAAACGGGGAGAACTCTGGGAACGTGGACGGGGCGGGGGGTGGGGTGGAGAACCCAAGACCCGCCCACCTTGTGGTGACCACCAAACCTCCACCGTGAGCTTCTCCCCTTCCTCCTTCTTCTTGTTGATCTTGGCCACCCGCTGTCGGACCTTCCCGGCCCTCTCGGCCTTCCCGGCGAGCACCAACCGGGGCGCCGCGGTGTGGGGGGGGGGAAACTGAGGCCCGGGGGGAACCCGAGATGTCCCCCCCCACCCCTTCCATGGTCTTCTCCAAGGGACTCTGTTGTCCTACCAGGAGTAGAGGAAGAAGACGAAGAAGGGCAAGGAGACGGTGAGCTGGAGCCAGCGCCAGTGGGGCACGGCGTAGGCCACGCCCGCCAGCAGGATCTGCCCCAGGGTGTAGGCGAAGCCGGTGATGGCCACGGTGATGGCGCGGTAGGGCGTGGGGATCCACTCCACCACTGCAAAGCACCATGGGAACGTGGCTGGCTCAATGTCCAACCCCACAACTTCCTCCGTGAAGTTCCACGGGCCGGGTGGAAGTTGAACGGTGTGGATCCGGACGTGGGGCATGGTGGGGGTTCCACCAGAGAACGTGGTGGGGGTTCCACCAGAGAACGTGGGGATGGTTCCACCAGGGAACGTGGGGATGGTTCCACCAGAGAATGTGGGCATGGTTCCACCAGAGAACGTGGGGATGGTTCCACCAGGGAATGTGGGGATGGTTCCACTAGGGAACGTGGGGATGGTCCCACCAGAGAACATGGGGATGGTTCCACCAGAGAACGTGGTGGGGGTTCCACCAGAAGAACATGGGGATGGTCCCACCAGGGACTGTGGGGATGGTCCCACCAGAGAACATGGGGATGGTCCCACCAGGGAACGTGGGGATGGTTCCACCAGAGACCACTGGGATGGCCCCACCAGAGACCATGGAGAAGGCCCCACTAGACACCATGGAGATGGTTCCACCAGAGACTGTGGGGATGGTCCCACCAGACACCATGGAGATGGTCCCACCAGAGCCCATGGGGATGGTTCCACCAGAGACCACGAAGATGCCACCCCGCCCTCCATCTACAGAGAGGGGCATGGCCCTGGAGATGGACCTTGGGGGAGCTGCATCCAGGAGCCTGGCAACCATCTCCATGGCCATGGTGACGTCCCCACCCGTGTCCACCAGGACATGGTCCCACCAGACACCATGGAGATGGTCCCACCAGAGCCCATGGGGATGGTTCCACCAGAGACCACGAAGATGCCACCCCGCCCTCCATCTACAGAGAGGGGCATGGCCCTGGAGATGGACCTTGGGGGAGCTGCATCCAGGAGCCTGGCAACCATCTCCATGGCCATGGTGACGTCCCCACCCGTGTCCACCAGGACATGATGTCTTCTCCATGGCCACGGTGACATCCCTATCAATGGCCATTGGGACAAGATGTCTTCTCCATGGCCATGGTGACATCCCTACCCATGTCCATTGGGCAGCGACATCCCCATCCGTGTCCACTGGGACAAGATGTCTTCTCCATGGCCACAGCGACATCCCCATCCGTGTCCACTGGGACAAGATGTCTTCTCCATGGCCACAGCGACATCCCCATCCGTGTCCACTGGGACAAGATGTCTTCTCCATGGCCACAGCGACATCCCCATCCGTGTCCACTGGGACAAGATGTCTTCTCCATGGCCACAGCGACATCCCCATCCGTGTCCACTGGGACAAGATGTCTTCTCCATGGCCACAGCGACATCCCCATCCGTGTCCACTGGGACAAGATGTCTTCTCCATGGCCACAGCGACATCCCCATCCGTGTCCACTGGGACAAGATGTCTTCTCCATGGCCACAGCGACATCCCCATCCGTGTCCACTGGGACAAGATGTCTTCTCCATGGCCACAGCGACATCCCCATCCGTGTCCACTGGGACAAGATGTCTTCTCCATGGCCACAGCGACATCCCCATCCGTGTCCACTGGGACAAGATGTCTTCTCCATGGCCACGGCGACATCCCCACCCATATCCACAAGGACAAGATGTCTTCTCCATGGCCACGGTGACATCTCTATCAATGTCCATTGGAACAAGATGTCTCCTCCATGACCATAATGACATCTCCACCCATTTCCAATGGTTCCACACCTCCCTCTCCACCACGCTGGCTGGTGGCCACACCCTGGTGGCCACGCCGGCCCCGTTGGTGGCCATGGGGTGGTCCCTCACCCAGGCAGGCGATGCTGAGGCCAAAGCCCGACAGGGCCATCCCGCCGGCGAAGCGGAAGACGCAGTAGGCCGCGTAGTTGGGGGCGAAGGCCGTGCAGGTTCCCATCACCCCCAGCTGCAGGTAGGACCACATCAACATGGCCTTCCGCCCGAACCTGCAAGCGGGACCTGCTGGTGGCCATCCATCCA